AAAATTATTGAATAATTACTTAAACGCAAGAACGGGTGAGGTAGTGCGCTGAAAGAGGTTCAAAATGGGGGAGGGGGGGGGAGGCGTTGGTAAACAAAACATTTACCTTTGTGAGTACAGAATGGTTCCGTCGGGTGAGAGACGGAAGAATTTGTTGGGTGTCGTTATGGTGTGCACGTAGGACGGGCCCCCGTTGATGAAGATCGTGTCGGGGCGCCAGATCCGCTCCAGCATCTTGACGTTGAGGGAGACGTTGTTGACGCGCTCCGAGGTGGCGTTGAACGACAGGCGGGTGTCCGTCCACACCTGGCGAAAGTAGCAGTCCAGGGAATACACCTGTGGAGTGGTCGTAACGGAACAGATCATGATTAACCTGTGGAGTGGTCGTAACGGAACAAATCATAATTAACCTGTCGAATGTTCGTAATGAGAAAAACAAAATTAACCTGTGGAGTGGTCGTAATGAACAAATCATAATTAACCTGTAGAATGGTCGTAATGAACAAATCATAATTAACCTGTAGAATGGTCGTAATGAACAAATCATAATTAACCTGTAGAATGGTCGTAATGAACAAATCATAATTAACCTGTAGAATTGTCGTATTGAACAAATCATAATTAACCTGTAGAATGATCGTAATGAACAAATCAATGGTTTATATATGCAAGCATATGGGACTATTCATAAATGACGTCATACATCGAGGGGGAAGAGAGGTCACGAATTTGTGATGTTGTATTGTGACAGTTTCTAAATTGTGTGACATATCTGTGACGTTAAAAAAGGGGGAGGGGGGTAAATGGGGCCAAAATATCTTGTTTATGGGTGGCACCATGGTGAACTGGCCCCATATTCTAAAGGCTTGGCATGTTAGCTTATCGGCAAGACACTAAATATCAGGCTTTTCTTATAATCACCTGTCACGTGAATATGTTAAAACCTTATTAAAATGTCTTCTCATTATTTTAGTGACTTAATTGATGACCTGATATGTATACATATATATAAATATATATTAATCTTGTGGCCACTTAGGACAATGTGGAGTGGGTAGGGCGAGCAGGATGGGGGATTCACAGCCTCAAAATAAACCGTTGTCCCTGGGGGTCAACAGAGCCAATGTTGCACTTGACGACCGTCCGCTTGTTACCAGAAGGACGATCAACGTAATACTTATAGCGTGTAGCGTCTCATTAAAGTTGTGGGCTTCCGATAGTTTCCCCTAATGAGTTGAACGTCGGGAGTACTGGAGGCAACGTGATGGCTGATGTCAGGACTCAAAGTGGAACTGACATTAAAATAATTTTTAAAAAAAGTTTCCCTAGTTTTACTTTTGTGTTGGCCCCAATCCTTGTAAATTCCTGCGGGGGGGGGGGAAGAGGGGGGCGAGCCATGGCGTGCACTCAAACGGTGAAAATAACAAACAAAATATTTATCTACTTTACCCTATTTGTTATATCAGTTGTGCGGGAGATTTGGAGATAACCTCTGGGTGTTGGATTAGCGTCTACAAGTGTNCCCCCCCCCCCCCACAAACCACTGACTTACCCGCCACGTGACCCTGGGCTTTGTGTGACCGTGCAGGTTGTACCATTCGAGTGATCATCCCCAGAACAGCTGTGCGTCAATGTCAGAAGAAAACACAATGATTATAGACTATATAAATTGAAAATATACTGTGCGCCAAAAATCTTTAAAAAAAAAACAACACTCTCGCATCTTCTTTTTCTTCTTCTATATCTTAAGGACCGACGATCGATATAATGATCATTCTGGTCAGTGGCGTAGCTAGGGATTTGGGGGGATTTGGGGGCCCGGGGGTTTGGCCTCTTTAGGGGCCCCTGCATTTTGACATTCGACATTATTTAATGTAAAAAAAAAATCGGACATGCGTTTGGGGGCCCCCCTCAGGTAGTTCCCGGGGGGGAATTTTGAATTTGGACCCCTCATCCCCCTCCCCTAGCTACGCCACTGATTCTGGTTCCTGTTTATGTAGAGAGTATTCGCAAAGCTCCAGCCGTTACGTGTTCTCGGTCGTGACAAGTAAGATATATTGGGCAATTATAATTGGAAATGGGTCTGTCGGCGGCGGAAAATGTATTTATAGCTGACCGTATTCTCTCATACCATAGTGATCGCACGGGTGGCCGTCTTTTTGGAAAATAGATGGCAAAACGATTGCAAGAGAGGTTACCAAGTTATGCTGGTAAACAATTTGGCTGCCTGTCCTGTCGACCAGAAAGTGTTTAGAAAAAATGAGAATCAATCACGTGATCAATCACGTGATCTCCAGAAAGCGCTGCATTCACCCCTACAATGTATACGTCGACGAGCATCGTCGAAACTGACCATCAGAGATACATCCGTTCGCCAATTGTTTAATTTAATGACAGCTGCGTTTTCGTACCGGAAACAGGATTGACAACGCTCGACGAGGGCAAGATGTGCCAGCGATGAACACTTTCGAGCCACGGTGTACTAGGATCCAGCTTTCTAGTAACTTTTTATAGGAATTTGTGATGCTCTTAAGAGTGTTACCTTGGCTTATTGGTCGTCTAGAAAGACTTTCTCTTATTTAGAGATATGAGGGAGGGGAGGATGGGATGGGGATTCCATTCCATAGGCGGTTCTACAATGACTCGTAGTGTTGGGTGATCTGTTTCGGGGCAGGAAAGAGTTGCCAATTAACTGGAGGTTTTTTCCCGCGCTCGTTTCTCTTACGGTCTGCTCGCCACGGGACGGCCGGTCGATGTGACAAGTTTATTACAATCTGTCTATCTCTTCACCTCTGCCTTCATCCCGTGGTGGGTTGGGATGAAGGAGGGAGGTCAAAATAGTTGGATGTAGGTTGATGGTAATATAATTTCCCCAGTCGACGAGACTTGGCCTCCTGGTCAATGCATCAACTTCCATTACCCCCCTCCCCCTTTATACAAATCCGATGGTTTAAATGTGAGAATTGGTTGCGAGGGGGGGGGGTGTGAAAATGGTGAAGTTGTTCTGGTGAGAATTGGTGATGTTGTTTTAGTGAGAATTGGTGACGTTGTTTTGGTGAGAATTGGTGACGTTGTTTTGGTGAGAATTGATGATGTTGTTTTGGTGAGAATAGGTGATGCTGTTTTGGTGAGAATTGGTGATGTTGAATTGGTGGTGTTGTTTTGGTGAAATTGTTGATGTCGTTTGGTAAAAAGTATCTGATTTATTTTATTTGGTGATTGGGGCACACGTTGGTCCGTTAGTGGGGATAACTGAAGTAGCTAAATGGAGCCCTATCTTTTTTAAAAATATGTAGCAGCGTTCCATCATAAGTCAAATAAAGATGCTATGCTTCATAAGGGGCAGTGAGTGGCCCACACAGCACATATTCCAAATTAGCGAAAAGTAGGCCACGCGAGGACCCAAACATCATTACTGGCCATGGAGATTGATGCACAGGGCGCCCTTTCTTCAGGTGTGCACCCCCCCCCATCCCGCTCGTGCTCAAACATATCGTTAGCGGTAAGGGTGGAATCGAAATAGCCAATGACAAGAGTAAACACGAGCGGCGATACTCCTGTCTTATTGGCCAATCAACTTGTCGCCCAGTTCACACGAGCCGGTCGAGAATCTCGGGCATTCTCCGGTGGAAATTCGATGAAAACGAGTCAGGCCATATCAAAGACATATTTTTTTGGCAGTTAACAAAGACACCCTATTAATTTGGTAATGCGCCCGTGCACAGTTATGCTTTAAATGTCTTATTTTGACATTTTATTTAGTATACGCCGCTGAAAATGACATCCACATTCCAACATTTCCTAATTATCTTTAAAATCTTATGGGGAAAAAAATCTATGATTACCAACTGTGTTCTGCATCTGCGCGAAGTGGGCGTCCTCAAAAGTGAACACCGTCACAATGTAGTTTTGAGTTATCGTAATGTTATTCTGATTCATCTTGATGTTATTCTTAGTCTTCTTCTTCAGGGGGCGTCATTTCAGGGTGTTTTTTCAGGGGGGGGGGGGACATAAGCAAAATTTGGTCGGCTTGTTAAGTTGTTAATTACTGAAGGCGTCCTGCTCTCCATGTTATTATAAGTCACCACAATTGTATTTTGAGTCATTTAGATCAGGCCTGCACAACATACGGCC